TCAATCCCTCTGTTGCTGTGTCACTATACCCCTCCCTACAACATGTAAGAGCTCATGAGCAGGCCCCTCAGTCCCTCTGTTGCTGTGTCACTATACCCCACTCCCTCTAACATGTAAACTCACTGAGCAGGGCCCTCAATCCCTCTGTTACTGTGTCACTATACCCCCACTCCCTCTAGCATGTAAACTCACTGAGCAGGCCCTCAATCCCTCTGTTACTGTGTCACTATACCCCACTCCCTCTAACATGTAAACTCACTGAGCAGGCCCTCCATCCCTCTGTTACTGTGTCACTATACCCCACTCCCTCTAACATGTAAACTCACTGAGCAGGACCCTCAATCCCTCTGTTACTGTGTCACTATACCCCCACTCCCCCTAACATGTAAACTCACTGAGCAGGCCCTCAATCCCTCTGTTACTGTGTCACTATACCCCACTCCCTCTAACATGTAAGCTCACTGAGCAGGCCCTCAGTCCCTCTGTTACTGTGTCACTATACCCCACTCCCTCTAACATGTATGCTCACTGAGCAGGCCCTCAATCCCTCTGTCACTATACCCCACTCCCTCTAACATGTAAACTCACTGAGCAGGGCCCTCAATCCCTCTGTTACTGTGTCACTATACCCCACCCCCTCTAACATGTAAACTCACTGGGCAGGCCCTCAATCCCTCTGTTACTGTGTCACTATACCCCACTCCCTCTAACATGTAAACTCACTGAGCAGGCCCTCAATCCCTCTGTTACTGTGTGTCCAACTGGTCTGGTTACAACAAGTTTGTGCATCCACCCATTGTAAAGCGCTGCAGAATTTATTGGCGCTATATAAAAATTAGTTACAGGATAGACTGTATATTGACATGTATTATGTTATGAATATATAACACGTATCAGGTATAACACATGATTTGGGTAAACTAGAAGAGTGGTCAGAATTGTGGCAACTGACATTTTATGTGGATAAGTGCAAGATAATGCATCTTGGACGTAAAAACCCAAGGGCAGAGTACAGAATATTTGATCGAGTCCTAACCTCAACAGGTGAGGAAAGGGATTTAGGGGTGATTATTTCTGATGACTTAAAGGTAGGCAGACAATGTAATAGAGCAGCAGGAAATGCTAGCAGGATGCTTGGTTGTATAGGGAGAGGTATTAGCAGTAGAAAGAGGGAAGTGCTCATGCCATTGTACAGAACACTGGTGAGACCTCACTTGGGGTATTGTACACAGTACTGGAGACCGTATCTTCAGAAGGATATTGATACCTTAGAGAGGGTTCAGAGAAGGGCTACTAAACTGGTTCATGGATTGCGGGATAAAACTTACCAGGAAAGGTTAAAGGATCTTAACATGTATGGCTTGGAGGAAAGACGAGACAGGGGGGATATGATAGAAACATTTAAATATATAAAGGGAATCAACACAGTAAAGGAGGAGACTATATTTAAAGAAAAAAAACTACCACAACAAGAGGACATAGTCTTAAATTAGAGGGACAAAGGTTTAAAAATAATATCAGGAAGTATTACTTTACTGAGAGGGTAGTGGATGCATGGAATAGGCTTCCAGCTGAAGTGGTAGAGGTTAACACAGTAAAGCAGTTTAAGCATGCGTGGGATAGGCATAAGGCTATCCTAACTATAAGGTAAGGCCAGGGACTAATGAAAGTATTTAGAAAATTGGGCAGACTTGATCAGGCCGGGACTGAAATTTCAGCCCGGGCAATTTTGAATCAGAGTGGCCCACACAGAGGGGCAGGGCCAGAGAGGTGGCGTTTTGTAACGGCTTACCTGGGTTCGGAGTCCGGTAGGCAGAGATATATGCTCACCCTTGCAAATAAACAGACCAAGGCAACCAGGCAAGACGCCACCTGGCCTGTGAGTCTGTGCAGGGATATACTCACAAGTCACAGTACAGGAAAGGACTAGCATAAGGGTAGTCTTGGAAAGCCGTAGTCAGGAGAAGCCAGAGACATCGATAAAGAGAGCCGAAGTCAAGAACAAACGATATGGATACTCAGTAACCAAAGAGCAGAAACAGAGGCAACAAACTGACAAAGTTCCCTGGGCGAGGCAGTGTTTAAATACCCAGCTAATACTGATCTGATTCAGGTGGGCTTAGATAGGCAGGTGAGAGCCACTGGGGAAGTCCAGCCTAGTGCTGAAGATAAGACACAATCGGACTTCCAACTGATACTGAGTTGTAATAGTGGCTTAGAGGCAGGAACACACGATTGGGATACAGATGGACTTAGGTTCTAATCCCCTGGTGGGCACCTCTGTGTCGACCATGTCTGGCAAGAACCGTGAATAAACACATCCTGTCCCTAAACATGTGGGTTCAATGCTCCCTTGCTGGACTTGGCCATTCTTATTAATATATGGAAGGAGGGGGTTTATATTTATTTAGTAACAGAGGGGGTGTATATATTTATTCTGTGACGGGGAGGGGGTGTATATATTTATTCTGTGACAGGGGGTGTATATATTTATTCTGTGACAGGGGGG